AATTACTTATAATGAAAGGGATTATAAAAATTGTCAAATAATATAACATTAATTAGGATTGACTCTAAAATGGTTTACCTGTAAAAAACATAAATAAATAATGTCTGGCCTACTCTGGTATAATTATAGCAGTATTGTGAAAATTACAGCTTTAATTAAGATTACATTAAATATAAATAAGTTTACCAAAAATTATAAGTTGCCATTAATTTCAAAATAAACTATCACATTTTTAAATTATTAATGAATGTTTTGTAATAACAAAATAGTTTAAATGGCCAGGATCTTAATAATATTATTTCCCTTTAGACTCACCTCCCAATTTAATTATACAAATTAAACCTTTGCTTATAAAATTAAGTAATTCAAAAATGGTTACAGTTTGTACATAATTATTTAGATATTATGTCCTTGCTCGTAAATATGGCACTATTGTATTTAGAAAAATTAAACTTACCGACAACAATGAGCTTGGTAACCGCTTTATCCATTTCTCTGAGATTTTTATCGCTACATATAATATCGTCATCTCTTGAGTTAGCAAGCTAAATTAAAAAATAGTTTTAATTATTAATTATTTTTTAATACACAATCAGGTTTTAACTTATACATTTAATATATAAGTAAAACATTAACTAGATAAATAGTTACCTCAAAATAAATACAAAATACAAATAACAATTTAACAAGCATTTTTATATATTATTAATTTTTAATAATAAAAACTAGTTTACTAATTTAAGTAGACACAGACTAATATTTTGCTTTATTAAGCAAGTATAAATTTCTAAGTTTGAAGTTTCTAAAAGTACTTAAAACCCCTTATATAGTAAGTGCAAAGACTAAGTGAAAGTTATTTATTATTTTTCAGAATATCTTTTCATAGCACTTGTTATGAGGAGCCGGTAGTCTAATGGTATGCATACCTGAGCCATATGTATAAGTAGTTTTGGGAAAAACAAGTTTTATCTTTCAGTTTGAGAGAGAGAGAGGGAGAGAGAGAGAGAGAGAGAGAGAGAGAGAGAGTTGAAGTATTGAATATAATTACATAATGTATTTTTATAATGTCAATATATTTATTGTTCATTTACTTATAATTATTAATGCACATAGCTCATTTGATTTTTAAAATATAATTATAGATATTTGTCCAACATTAACAATAATTAATGAAATAGTTATTTAATTGTACCTAAACTAGACATAAAACTAGAGTAATTTATTTAACCATGACAGATTTTATAGTTTATTTTGTGCATTGGGTCAGTAGTAAACTGGTAGTGTCTGTACCACCAGTCTGTATGTCGTGATAAGTATCAAGCCTTGAATATTGCGATAAAATATGACTATTTTGGGAAAGGTGTACTTTTCAAAATTAATATTAAATTTAATTAATACTTTACTTTACGATAAGAATTATTAAATTAAATTTTTCGGAATTTTTAAAAATACTTTTCGTGTTTCAATGCAAATAGCCCCAGGAATTCAATGACCTTGGTGAAAGTATTTTTTATGACAAAACTTTTTAAAACACTTATATTTTACCATTTGTTTATACAGTATGTTAACAATGATAATCTGAAAATATTTATATATTAATTGTGCTATGATAAATAAACATTAAAATAAATTTTAAAAATCTATTATTTATTGTACATTATAAATTACCGGGAGTTGACTGTATTGTATTAATATTTTATAATAATAGTGTGTCAAAAATAGCAACTCATTTAACCTGGTGGTTATTGTACTCTAACACTATAAGTAAAAATATGTCAAAAATGTCAAAAATGTCAAATATTATTGACAGCAAATATGTGCAAAAAAATCATTCAACCAGGTCCGTGTCAAATTATAATGACCCTGCTGTCAGTGCACAAAAGTGTATTTTAAGTATTTGTAATATCTAGGTTTTACTATATTTTATCGTATCTAATGTAATTTAAACCATGTTATTAAAATAAATTATATTTGCTATTATAAAACTTAACACCAATACATTATTAATACAATTAAACTGTAATTTAAATTTCACAAAAAATATTGTTATGATAAAGTAGTTTATGTAATTATTAACGGCTATTGAATGCAGTTTTTTATTAAAAATAAATATTTATTTTATATGTTGAACTTTTTTAATAACACTATTTTAAAATAATTGAATTATATAATTAAAATTTATTAATTCTGCACAATTTATTTTAAATGTTACTATTAAAATATTGAATACCTAGATGCAATTAATATAGCAACATGACTGACAAGTTCAGTTGCCGGATTTTCATATCAAGTTATTGACTTGCTTAATAAGATGTTGCATGATGTTTATAACCTTACATGTCAAATATTAAACTAAAATTATAAGGCTCAAACAATAATATGAGTTTGCTAAACAAAAACATAGAAGTGACCTATGTCAATCACCTTGTCATTTATAATATATGTAATAAATATTTTAAGATCATTGCACCTGTCTTACTGAATTTAAGAATATTTAAATAATTTTTTTTTATAAATAATAGCATAACGTAAATGTTAATAAGAAAGGTACCCGACAAAATAATGTAAAATTATAGAAAATATTGAGTATTTTTTAACTAAAATTTTACAATTTAACTAATTGCACTCTGTTAAAAAATCCTTAATTTTTAAGATTAATTATATAATTTTTATAAATAAAAGCAAAAATTAAATTACCATTATGTAATAACCCATAATTTTTTTTGGTTTTTTTTGTAAATATTATTTATAAGTTTTATTAACATTTTACAGTTTGCTCATAATATAGACTAAATCATAATCATAAGGCAGTTAAATGTCCCATGTTTTTTATTGTTAGCTGGTATAGTTGCACTATATTCAATTGGGGCAGTTCATCAAGCTCATTTTGGCGTATGCGCTCAGGTATAGACACTTGCACATGTTTCTGTAATTTGTAGCCTACAAGAAGGTCTACAAGGGTTTGATGTTAATTTCATCTAGGTGCTCCGTTGGGTCCCATGTCCGATAATATGAGTTTGTTGCAGGGCCCTCATGAACCAGGTTAAATTATTATATTTTAAAAATTAAAGATGTGTACACGTATTCTACCCATTTAATTAATAAAATAAATTTTCATTAGTATCAAAGTTATAGCATAAAAAGTAGGAAAAATTTTGCATGTTTAAAATTAAAGTCCTTTTATAAAATTTTGGTTAATACCGACCTGGACAATTCATATACCAAACAAAACCCTAACTATCCAGCTACAATTTAGTGAATAAATGGATAAAATAAACAAGACGGTATTTAAATAAATTAAAATCAAAGTAGGGGTGCCATATTTTGGCCGCCCTGTACAATTTGATATAATTTTATTAAGTAAAACTCAAGACCTGACTAATAAGTCATTATGCTAGCTAATTTATGCTAGCTTAATACAAAAAATACCGCTATCTCTCTCTCGGGAGTCCAAAATAACATTTTTATAATGTCATATACAGTCATAATAATAAAATATTAAATATTACAGTTTAAAAGTCTATATTTTTATAACGTGTAAGCTAATTTGTATTTAAAAAGAAAATGTTATTTACCTAACACCTTTATAAAAACTATTAATTAATATAAAAACTTTATCATACAATATAATAATATCCAATTTATTTGATAATAATTTTAATAATTATGCACTATTTTGCAGTTTCCTAATTATTTAATTTATTATATTATAATATTATTTTTAAAATGTATCATATTTTGGTAAACTTTAGGCTAACTATATTAACTTGCTATAACTATATTATATTAGTCCACGCATTTAAATTATTATTATAAACATAATTAAGTTTGTCATAGTATAATATTTTTTATTTTTAATCAAATATAATTATTTTAGGTTTACATTAGAAATAACATTCAATAGATGCTTGAACATAGATTTAATTTATATATTATTAATAATTATATTCATTAAAATAAAATCCGAAAATATTTTGAATGTTATAAATTTAATGAAAGTTATTTGTGTTTCAAATCGACCTGGCACATCACTTGCTTAACACTCATACAGTAACTACTCATCCACTGACCAAATATGTGCTTGCTTATATCAACCTCCAGGTAACTACACGAACCCCACGGTCTATACCCGACGTCTCCGTCATCCCAAGCACTGGACGCCCAGTTAGTATAGTTAGTTAGGATGCCGTCCACCCATTTATATTCAAGCGACGTTCCATCCCCCTCGTATCCTAACCACACGTCCAGACTATCGGTGCCCTTTTGGTGTAGTATTGTGTTTACGAGTTGTTGCTCCTGTGCTGAGTGTATGGCCAGTAGCCCTCCCTTTGGGTGCAATTGTTTGCATAGTTTTGTGGCAACCGTTTGGTTGACACGAGTGGTCGACACGTAATAACACTTTTGGTCTGCTTTTTCGGTACGCCAGTAAAAGTCGCCGTCGCATACGACCGACTCTATGCCTATTATGGCGTAAAAATAGGTATTATTTTTTGAATAAGAGAGAGAGAGAGAGAGAGAGAGAGAGAGAGAGATTTGTAACATTAAATAATAAAGTACAAATTAAATTAATAATTAAGTAATTAAATAAATACAGATTTAATAACATAGTAAATGTAGCATGATGCATACTTTTATAAAAATTGATCATTGTCTGAATTTCATCAAATTCTACGGATAAAACAAAATTTTAAAAATTAAAAATTAAATTAAATAATTTAGAATAATCAAGTCCTACCAACAACCCCGTGAGCATTAGCCACAATGACCAGGCTAATTGCCAACATTAGAAAATTAGACATTATATTATAATTTGTTATTTTGGAATATAAAATTCAATTGATTGTGTTATGTTTGTTAGGTAATTTTGATGCTTATTTATACTTTTATTTTAGCATGATAAGAAGTTACATGATTAAAAGCAAACTCAAGTAAAATATTATTTATATGAGTGCTATTCAAGTGCTTTTTATAACATAATATTGTATTACCCTGTTTGACGCCCTATAGTGCGCGCACTATCTGAGAAAAAAAGTAATTTTTTGGGAAAAAGTAGAGGGGCGCACTATACGCAGGGTGCGCATTATCTGAGAAAATTACAGTATAAAATTTTGCTTAATTACTAATTATAATTTTAAATTAAATGCAAATCAATTACAAATCAAATCCTAAAAATCAAAACCTTCAAAATATTAAAAACTAGATTAATTCAATTACTAATAGCACAAACACAATTAACACTTATCATTAATTATATGATATTGGTATTAATGTTAGTTCACTATAACAAATAAATGTAATTTAACTTCACATCTAAGGATTTTATAACTAAACTCTTAATTTAAACTATTAAACAAAAGAGTTTTCAGTTGACTAATATAAATGTGGCAAATATCACTAAATCAATTTTGTATGAAATTTTAAAAGATTTGTGTTAATCTTATACCTAGATATCTTAGATGATTTGTTGTCTTAAAGTCACTTAAATTCCATTCATCTATACCTGCGCATATTGTATATTTATGTTTTAATATGGGCGCACTATACGTAGGGTGCGCACTATCTGAGTAAGAAACATACATTTTTTTCAAAAATGAAAGCGCACTATACGGTGGGGGCGCACTATAGGGCGTCAAACAGGGTAAGTTCAAAATTGTATAATAATTAGTTCAAAATGCTTGTGCCATATCAAGTATCCTAGTACAATTAAGTTATCTTATAATTTTGTGTATTGCAGATGCTTTATATTTTTATAAAAAAAATTGAACGGACTGTAAAAATATTTTAATTTCTAATATTATATTATTTATATTATTCTTATTAATATTATCTAATATTATTTATATGAGTGCTATTCAAGTGCTTTTTATAACATAATATTGTATATTAAGCTAATTAACAGAATACTTAATTACGTATAAAATTATAACATTGGACAAACTATAAATTATTTTTCATTATTAATATATTGCTACAAGTACATTATCAGTATAACTTTTGTTCTGGTCACAAACATTGATAATTAGTTCAAAATGCTTGTGCCATATCAAGTATCCTAGTACAATTATGTTATCTTATAATTTTGTGTATTGCTAGCGAATTATAATAAATACAAGTATAACTAAACAATAAACAGCATCGAACAAATACTGATACTACCAAGTACATTTAATCTATGAGTGAAATCAAACAGATGCTTTATATTTTTATAAAAAATTGAACGGACTGTAAAAATATTTTAATTTCTAATATTATATATCAAACAATTTTAAAGGATTCATAATGGGACTGAAAATAATGTATTTATTTTTATGGCAGTAATTTAGTTTTTATTATATTAAATATTTATAGTTGATTATTATAATGGTGAAATGTAAAACTCATTTTAAATAATTTAATTTACAATATTAATATGATTTAATACAATTTGAAACAAGTTCAAATCCCAAATATATTTTTGATTAAAATTTTCTAAGTTTAATGTAATAGGTTTATAATAAAGATTACAGTTTGTAATATAAATAAATAACCTTTTATTTACAAAAAATTACTTACTAAACTAATACTCAACATGACCATGATTATTATTATAAAATTACAGTAATTTCTCCAGAATTTGAATGCAATTTAAAATTAATTAAAACCAATACTAAATAAAATTAAAATACAGCTTGTACAAATGGTTAAATATTTTTATAATAATAATATTATTATATTTCTATGAGTTTTAAAAATAACACGAATAATAAACTTTAAATCTAATAAATAATATAAAGAAATAATATTTTAAATCACTGTAAACTAACCATATTCACTAGCCTCATAGCATCGAAAATAATTATCCGGAAACAATTTAATTTAATACCAATTTTTTGTTTGCTGACAAAATATACAATTAAAATATTTATACGCTTTAAACGACTCGCTATTAACACTGGAAGTCATGTATAAAATAAACGCAAATAATGATAACATGTATTGCACATTAAACCCAAGTATTAAATAATTTATAAAATCAACTTGTTTAAATAAAAATACAAATAATGAGCTCACGGCTACCGTTCCCAAACCAAACCATATTATTAACAAATATTTCGACCAATACTGTGTATTATAGTCATTGATCTCATGATAAATAGCATTCAATGAATGGATTGTTTGTCCTATATATCCCATGTTAAGTCTATGGCAATGTTTAATATTGTTCATTAATTGTATATTAATTGAATGTAAATTTAATTTCAAATAATAACATAATAAATAAAGGTATACAAATAGCCATAAACTTAATCCAAATGTGTAATAACATGATAGAGTGGACAGTAGGCTATGGGGTAAGCCATATATTTAATTGAATGTAAATTTAATTTCAAATAATAACATAATAAATAAAGGTATACAAATAGCCATAAACTTAATCCAAATGTGTAATAACATGATAGAGTGGACAGTAGGCTATGGGGTAAGCCATATACCAGAGTTTCATATATTGTGCAATTTAAAATGTATGGAATTATAAATGCAAATAACGTCATTGGAAATATGTACTTCGTGATAAAATTAGCCATTTTAAATAATAATTTGCACAATTTTGCTAATTTTATAAATATTTTCTTATCATAACATTTAGCATTAATATTATTTGTATTGTACGAAAGTATATTAAAAAGTTTCATAAACTTAATATTAGAATTTCCCATAGAGTTAACATAGAATATTACACGTAATGATAAGTCCATAATTAGCCAGACCCATATTGCAATATTTAAATGCATGGTCAGTCCCATTACGTACGTAAAGTCACCCATTACTACATGTAGCCAACGATTATTTTTATTAATTAATAAAAGACTTGTATTTCGTATTAGCATGGTGATTGTTGTAATTATAATTAGTAAAGGGTTATGAATTGTGTTTGGGTTATTTACTGATGATTTAGCTTGCTGAATTAAACCAATGGTAAATAATTTTATAGCAGCACTAGGCGTTAATAAATTATCAGGTAGCAAAGACATTTTGTACTATAATGAATGAGGCTATATTTTTGTAACAATTAACAATTAAGTATATTTTTTGTTATATTTATAAATAATGGTTTTGTTGCTATGGCAAAATTTATTTTATAAATGTCAGTGTATTGTATGATATTCATTTAGTTACAAATGTTTTTTATGTAGCTTATTTATACTTAAAAATTAATGGCATTTATACCCAAATATACATTACATATAAATATTTATTACGATTTTGTAGCAATAAACAAAAAATAATATTTTTTATTAATATCCAAATATGTAATTTTGAATAAGGACATTTAGATATAGTTCATTCATCGAGAATAAAAATATATAAATAAAAATTTTTAAATAATATCCTAATTTTAATAAATAATTAAAATTTATTTTAAAAAACTGTATACAATAATTAATTAATTAAACAAATTTTTATGAAGATGGTTTAATAACTTATTAGATTTATGCTAAACTAAATTGATTTATATTTAAAAATAATGTTACATTTATTTAAAAATACAGTATTATAACTATAACGCAAAAATTATTTTAAAAATAAACAATTATTAATTAAATGTAATTTAAAATCACTTTATCTTTAATACGGAAAATACACTGATAATAAAATATTTTTTGTTTAAAGTAAAATAAAAATAATATTACAATATCTATTAATATATAACTAAGTTAACAATTATTAATAAAAAATAATTTTTGTTGGTGACTATTATTTTTTAAAATTTTTTTATTTAAAATGCGTTTAAAATTAAACATAAATAATTTATTTTTTTCTAACTGTATAAAGTAATCATTCAATTATTTTGGCTTGATTGATTAATTAATTAATATTTAACTTAAAACATATTTTTACATAAATATTTACATTACATTAGTTGTTCTAGATAAAAATTAAATTACTAGTTAGACTCCTGTTTATTATATTATATGATAAGGCTTTTTAAATGCTATGTCGTAACATATTAATGATTTTAAAAATACATTTTGGTGTAAATAGTTATTAATTAATATAATAATTAATATTTGGACTTCTAACTAAATGTAACTGTTGTAATTGTAGTATTAATGTATGCATGCACCAAATATATTGAAAGCATCAGCACCAGATAACCTTGGACGAATTAGTAATGTGCTTTTAATTAATATATTATAGTCAGTACATAGAAAAAACTGTATTTCGCAAAATGTAATTTACTTATGTCTACGAGTATAGACATATTAATATAATGTAAATTATTTACAGAAATATCTATCTGGACCAATTTTTATTTTCTTAAAATGTATAAATCTAGACGTAGTAAAATTAACTTGATTCATCCAAGACACGTATTAGATTCTCAACTAACTACAAAATCAGCTAGTACAAAATTATACACTATTGGACTATTAGCAAATGCTTCAAATGATATCAAACGTACTTTTATACATAACCCGTGGGTTATGCAAGTAATATGGTGGCTATTTATTATCAAGATATTAATTACATTAAATACACCTAGAACAACAAGAGACATATTTATTATACTAGGTGATTTTCCCTATTTGATGTCCATTAAGCCTCATATTAATTTGCCATTCA